TATTTGGAAGCTGCACCAGAGGGTTGAGAGAACTCATGATATAAAAACATGTACAATAAATGTAGAAGCAAAGCAATAGAGCAAGCATGAAAATGAGAAAGATTGAATTTCAGTAATAATTGGAGAGTTCAGCTCTAAAATGGGGAATGCACTCTTATGCCTCTGAAAATAAAAGGTCAAGGAGTAAAAATAGTTCTGACATAAACTAATAAAGAGGTGAAAGAAAGTACGCATCTGAGGAATTTAATCATCTGTGATCCTTATTTTATCTATGAAGCAGAAAGCAGGATTGGAAGTCAGGTGTGTAGGGACTTAATTCGTCATTACCATAAATTCACCATCCAAAATGAAAGCTAAGGCCTTGAAAATGTCCTTCATCTAACTATTAGGTTACCACTAGTCTTTCTCTGTGCCTCCTTTCATTTCAGTAATTGTTGTCTTAAAGCTTATGTCCATCATTCTCTTTTTGTCTCTTATATAGTTATACTAAATCTACAAGTAGTCATAACAAGTTTATTTTTATTTGAGTTTCTAAATATGCAAAAGAAGTACATTACATAATATGTAATCCTCAGGACTCTTTTTTAAAATTTAATATTAGATTGCTAAGTTATCTTATTGTTGTATGTCCTTCTGGTTGCTTAATTTTCATGGCTATAGAATGTCCCTTTGTGTGAATATTTATCTGCTCTACTGTTGATGGACATAAGGGTTCTTTCCAGTTCTTATTGTATTGTGAATACTGCTCTTATGTTTTGCATGTGTAAAAGCTTCTTTAAGACATGTTCCTTTTATCATGAGAAAACTAAGAAGATCTTGTATTCTATTTCTTTTGCCATACTTGTACAATAATTTCTTGAGTATATTCTTTTTATAATCAGAAAATAAAAACTTATTTTTAGCTTTCTTAAAGCTGGAAGATAAAGATACAACTCCAGCATCAGTTTTAGCATTTACTGACAAGATGAGTGAATAAAGAGAGATTGAAGAATGAAGACCACCTGTTAAAATATTGGAGAGGGATAAGAATGGCATGAACTGGAGCAGTGATGGGTAGAGGCGGTTGTTGTGTCACCTCAGAGCCCTAAGCAGCTGAGCCCACTGGGCACAGAGAGCAGGGCCACAGAACACATTCGTGTACCCATGTGTTCACCTGCACTAGATAGAGTAGAAAGGAGAAACAAACAACTTAGAAGCATAGAAAAGTCCAACAGGTGAATGCTTTGATGCTAACTAAAGGCCAATGAAGGAAGACCTGATGTGAACAGAGTGCTGTAAAATTCAGTTCCTTCTAGCTGATAATAAGCCCTACTAGAGGCACAAAGAATGGTGTGGGGAGTGGCAGCATTTACAGAACCCACAGACATATTCAATACTTTATAATTCAAGCATAGGGCTAGCCAGGGGATACTTGCTTCCAGGGGAAGTTATGATACTGTCTACTTAGTTAGACTTTTGGAAACAGTCTTAGCATGTCCATAGGAGACAAAACAAGCCCTTGGGCCTCAGAGTTCATTTAGCGGATGAAGTTTGCAGGCAGGAGTCCAGGAGACTTGCCCAGGGAATTCATTATAATCTTTGTTTCCTGGAGCAATATTTTCAGGAAAAGTCATGTCAACTGAGGAGATGAGACCACATGCCTCCCCCTGGGACAAGGTCCTAAATCACTGTCACTCCAGGGACAGTGAGGCTGGGCCCCATAGGGCCTCCTTTGGGCACTTCCTCCCATACCTTTTTATCCAAATTCCTTCTGTGCTCATCTTTGATCATGGACCCTACCACAATGAGAACACATGAAAATCTGAGTCAAAACCAGGCCCAAGCTGTGAGGGCTTTCTTACAAGCAGTAGATGAGAGAAGTTAAGAGAGAGACCACCTCTTTTCCCCAGGACCCTGATCTAGGTTCTCAGCTGCTTGTCTGCATTCATCTCTATGCCAGAGAGGACTTGCAGTGCTAGTGACTGGAGGAGTCTTTGATCTCTGACCTCAGACACAGCCATATGCACACCAGCACACCATCCTGCCAGAAGAAAAACTTCCTTTGTCTCCTTGAACACCTTCATCTCTCAAGTAAATCAGTGCAGTAGGAGTGGTCTGGCAGCTGTGCCCTTGCTCATATGAGGTAAGGGTTCTGTCTCTGTTTCAAGGAAGTTATGTGAAGCCTGGAAGTCTTCTTGAGAAACAGGATCAAGACCTCACTGCTTTGCTTCTCATACTCTTTAGTACCTCAGGGTGCATAGTTCAGCCACTCCCTTCTGCACTGTAGGCAGCCTGTACATGCGGGTATACCCACAATCAGTCTGTTCCACTCACCAGACCTGGGTTCCTATACATCCTGGGAGAAGTCTCATTACTTTTGGACTGGGATTATCCTGGCCTCTAATAGTCTGATGTGTGCTCTTAAAAAAAAAAGATAATCTAGAAGTCAAAGTGGCTTTTCTCTAACTGCCTGCTTGATGTTAAAGTCCAAAACCACAGAAAAAAAGCCAATCGGAATAATGACATTTAAAAAATATATGGAACAATGACACAGAAAAATAACCTTTAAAATATGCTTACAAATTTTTAGCTCAGTGTTGTTAATTGGCTCTGTCCGATCATTTCCTATGAAGTAAAACAATCCCCCTCTGTTAATCTCAGTCTCTGTTGACTTGTCCTGGTCTGAGGTTCCCACCACCCCCAGCAGTTTGCCAGACAGGGAGCTCTTCCTCCATAGGCCCAGTGTGAGTTCTCAGGCCTTTATCTTCAGATGGCCCTGAAGGAGAGGAGCCATAGAACGGGCAAGGAGAAAAGCCCAGGGTCTGCATCAAGGGGAAGAAGGCAGCTAGGAAGGATCCTGAGTCCTAAGGATCACCACCTCACCTAAGCCCCCTTTTCTGCTTTTTAAAGCCCCATCCACAATCCTGGTGCAGAAATCAGGATAAATGTGTGCCCCTAATTATTTTCTTCCCTTTACCACTCTATCCATTCATCTACTTAATATAACAAAAGAAAAAGTATTTCAAGCCAAATATTTACCAGGAACAGTGTTAGAATTTTTTAAAATCCTCACCCAAGGACATGTTTATTGATTTTTAAAGAGATAGAGGAAGAGAGATAGACAAAAAACCCCATTAATGTGAGAGATAAACATCAAGTGATTGCCTCCCATATGCACCCGGAGCTAAAATCAAACCAGCAGCTTTTTTGATGACAGGATGATGCTCCAAACAACTGAACTACCTGGTCAGGGCTAGCAATGGCCTTTGAATTTGTCTTTTTGTTGTTGTCAATAAGCAAAGAGTGTCTTCCAGCCAATATTTTTCACTTTAAATCTGTATTTTTAGCTTTGTGATGCAAAGGAAATATGTTAGACCCCAAGAAAAGAGAATATTACAGAGGATGTTTTTCTGGCTGGCTTCTTGTCCAGACTTCATTGTAGCAAGAGTTCAGGGAGGATATTCTCTGATATTCTTCGATGATGATTCAGTGTCCTGACCTTCACAGTGTTATTCCCTTTCTCTGGTATACCATGACTCTCTTTCTTAGCCACCTCCTATTCATCCTCAGCCTGTAGCTTATATGTCACTTCCTCAGTAAATCATTTCCTGAAACCTCACTTATGTGGACTATTTTTACATTTTTCCTCATGTATTAATCATGAAGAAAATATACATACCAGTGGATGTGTATTGTGTTTGTATAATGGGCTTTTCACATCTGCAACTTTCCTAGCATCAGTTATAGTGCCCAATACATTGTATGTCCTTTGTAAATGTTTATGGAATGAATGAAAGGAGCTAGATCAGAAAAGACTTCCTATTTCAGGATTTTGTCATCCTACTTCTTAAAGGTCCCAATTCCAAGTTGACAGGGATGGTGACATAAACAGAAGATGGGAGGATCAGGAGCAGATGATACAAAGTACAGATAAAGAATTTGTTCATGTGTTCTTTTTTCTTCCAGAGTGCCTCTTAAGACCTCCATTCAGCTGTGAAAGAGCTGTATTCCTAAAGAGCAAGCTAAGGGAACACTGTCCCACAGATGCCACGCACTCCACTTTCTCTCCCCTCAATCCCTTCCATGAGCATCATCATACAGATTCAGACACAGCAGGACCAGCATCCCATCTCATTTTGCCAGATTCGTGAGAAAGAAGAATCTTATTTTCCTGTTCAGCTTCTTGCTTTGACCCTCAGGTGATGGGATGATTTGGGGCCTTCTCTATGAAGTCTCTTCTTTTACAACTACCCCGTTCTGTCATTTGCCCTAAATACAAACACCTTGTCATACCTTTGCAAATATCATCTATTACATTTTCCCTGATTCTTCCTGAGGAAACATCTCTATCTTCAAATAAGCAAACATCTTTTGTACTGTTCCTGCAGGTTTACTTCCAAAATCTGTACTGGCCCGACCATTCAGTTTAGTCCAGAATTGTTTTTTTCCTCCAAAAGGGTAGCAGTGTGATTTTCAAGGATGTGAGCACAATTCAGCAACACAAGAGATCAAGGTTTCTAAGACCTCAAAGGCCTCTGTTTACAAAGCTGTCAATGACAATAAGACTGGAAAGTGAAGGCAGACGTCACATCTGCTGAGAAGATGTTGTGAGATGTCGTAGAGCTTTATTATAAGAAAATATTGACACTGACTTGGAATCCCAAGTATATTTTAAGCATAAACCAGATAAGCCAGATTTTAAACCAGTACCCACTGTATTTCTTAACTATGCATATAGAATTTTTTTTCTGTCTTTAAAGGTGCTTGTGTGGACTCATTCTCTTGGATGCCTTATTTAAAGGGAATTCTAAATAATTAGCTATTAGCAACATGCTTTATCATAACTCCATAAAAGATTTAAAAATTAAGAAGTTATAAGGCAAACATAGGTACCAACAGGAAGAGATATATCTCACGGGATCCTGTTCACCATGTATAAGTGACAGGAGATAAAACTGGGGTGAACTCCCTGAGAAAGTTTCACTGAGACTCTGTTTGGTTCTAGGCAACTGAATAAACAGCACAGAATGGAGCACTGGAACTCCACCCTGGAAGGTGGCTTCATATTGATGGGGATTCTGAAGGACAGTGGGTCCCCTGAGCTGCTCTGGGCCACACTCGCAGTTCTTTACATGTTGGCTCTGACCAACAATGGCCTGCTGCTCCTGCTCATCACAGTGGATGCCCGGCTCCATGTGCCCATGTACCTCCTGCTTGGGCAGCTCTCACTCATGGACCTGCTCTTCACATCTGTTGTCACTCCCAGGGCCCTCGTGGATTTTTTTCTCAGTGAAAACAGAATCTCATTTGGGGGCTGTGCCCTTCAGATGTTTCTAGCACTGACACTGGGTGGTGCAGAGGACCTCCTACTGGCCTTCATGGCCTATGACAGGTATGTGGCCATTTGTCATCCTCTGAACTACATGGTTCTCATGAGTATGTGGGTCTGCTGGCTCATGGTGGCCATGTCCTGGATCCTGGCAACCCTGAGTGCTCTAGGACATACCTTGTATACCATGCACTTCTCCTTCTGCATGTCCCAGAAAATAAGTCACCTGCTTTGTGAGATCCCACCTCTTCTGAAGTTGGCCTGTGCAGATACCTCCAGATATGAGCTTATTGTGTATGTGACGGGTGTGACTTTCCTCTTGCTCCCTCTTTCTGTCATTGTTACCTCCTATGCACTAATCTTATTTACTGTGCTCCACATGCCTTCAAATGAGGGGAGGCAGAAAGCCCTAGTCACCTGTTCTTCCCACCTGACCGTGGTTGGGATGTTCTATGGAGCTGCCACATTCATGTATGTTTTGCCTAGTTCCCTCCACAGCCCCAAGCAGGACAACATCATCTCTGTTTTCTACACAATGGTTACTCCAGCCCTAAACCCCCTCATCTACAGCCTGAGGAATAAGGAGGTCATAGGGGCCATGAAAAGGGTCCTAGGAAAATACAGGCTGCAGACACACCCCAACTTCTAGGGAGTGATCATGGCTCATCTCTCACCATTCCTTCTCCAACTCAAAATGCTATACACAACCAGTCTTATATTTAGCTCTGTATGAGATAATATAAACACATGAAAATGTTTTCATTTCATTTCTGCTGTATAGCAGGTGAGCATAGAGACCTTAAGCTACAATCACATGGGATATATCATCTTCACCTTGGAAGCCCACATCGTAAAAGGAACAGAAGAAAAGCATGGAATGGATGTCCTCTGTGGTAGGACTTCATCCTGACATGATTTTCATGTAAACATGGTAGAGGACTGTTTTAAATTCAGTATCACATAGCAGTGACAAACAGTGATAGTTGTAGGCTGACCAAGCTCCAATAGTCTGTTAACATCAGAGGAGAACTGCTTTCCATTGAATTCTAGGACAATTAATAGAGATAAGTAGCTTCAGAAGATATATTGGGCTTCTTGCTTATTAGGCAACTGATTGTTCAAGCAACTTTTTAGAAAGTAATAGATTTGTACTCTGGACTTAAGCACTAGCCCATACTAAACACAGATGTAAAGATAATACCGATGTTGAAATGGTGAAAAAGGTTGAATGGGCATTTTTATGCTGCCTCAAACTAAAATTAAAATTAAAATTAAAATGAGTAAAAGAGAATGTGAGAGTATCAGATTTAAAGTAAGAATTAGAGATACGATTAACAACAATGAGAAACATCTGTTAAGTGTATTACTTGAATTTTTAAAAGTATATTACACATATATAGGTGTGTTTTGAAACATCAAATAATTGCAAGGAGTTCATACTTTTGAGGTGAGTATATATGTAGGTCAGTGTCCACAGAAAGTAGGAGTAAAATATATAACTCACTTTCTAGTTATCTTAAATATGGTTTATTTTAGCATTTAGGAAAACTTATAACAAAAGCTGGGAACTTAAATTTGTTAAGAATAGCTCAAAAATATCCTAGCTCACATAGTTGGAATTGTTAGAATAGTGCTTTGTGAAAACTGAAAACCCTTTTTTTACAGAAATAATCTTAATTATTTAATCTATAAGGCTAAACAATAATATAAAAGTTAAAACCAATCTATAAATCTAAACCAAGTTCATTATAAAAGCTGAGAAAATTTAGAAATAAGTAAAAATTGCCTATAAAGTTTTTCTTTTATTTTTTTTGTTATCCATATTTGTATTTTACTAAATAGTTATATACATGTTGCTTAAAGTCCTGCAGTTCTGACATTTAAAATTTATTGAACTTTCTTCCTTGTTAAGAGAGGACAATATTGTTTTGGGGTAGAGAGTGAGTAGCCAGGGAGGAGGGGGCCAGAATGCTGAGTGTGAATCTCTGCTTCCCTTTTATCATCTGTGTGTCTTTGGACACTAGATTGAACTGTTTGTCTTTCAGTTTGCTCATCTTAAAAGTGGTGATAATAATATGACTCTTGACAATGCCATGATGTTTTTAGAATGACTGAGTAAGAAAAGTGAATGTCAAGTGCATAGACCAGAGCCTGGAGAGTACTGCTTAGAACATGCTAACTATTATGTGAATAAATAGTAAATAGTCTTTAAATTTTTTAATTTTTTAAAATTATATATTTTTGATTCTGCTGTTAGAGTATTTCTGCTTTTTCACCTTTTGCCCCCCTCCACCCAGTGCCTCCTACTTTCTCAGGCAACCCCCCTACCATTGTTCATGTCCATGGGTCATGTGTATAAGTTCTTTGACTATCCCATTTCCTATACTGTACCTTACATCCCCATGGCTATTCTTTAACTACCTATTTGTACTTCTTGATCCCCTCACCTATTCCTCCATCCTCCCCCAAATCTGGCAACCATCTGGTAACTAACTTCTTTTCCTTGCTGCTTTTAAGAATCTCTCTTTAACCTTTGTCCTTTTAATAATGATGTGTCTTGGAGCGGGCCTCTTTGCATCCATCATAATTGGGACTCACTCACTGTGCTTCCTGGACTTTCATGTCTATTTTCTTCACCAAATTAGGAAAGTTTTCTTTCACTGTTTTTTTAGGTAACTTTCCAACTTCTTACTCTTTCCCTTCTCTTTCTATTTCCCCTGTGATATGAATGTTGGACCTCTTAAAGTTGTCCCACAGGCTGTTTATTCTATTTAAATATTTCTTTGGATTCTTTTTTCTTCTTGTTGTTCTAATAGGTTGTTCTTTGGTTTCTTATGTTCCAAATCATTGATTTGATTCTCAGCTTCATCCACTCTACTGTTGTTATTAAACAGTAAAATTATTCTTTATTTTAATTAGTGTATCCTTCATTTCTAACTGTTGCTGAGGTTCTCCATAAGTTGCTTGAGTATCCTTATAAAACAGTGTTTCATTTTTTTCCATTTATTTTACTTTTTCACTTATTTTTCACAACATTTATTTCACTTACCATTTAGCTATCTGATAGGATTTGTTGACTAGGAAAATGTTACCATATTTATGGAGTTACATATATCCATTTTTCCTGGCCAGGTAACTCACTTGGTTAGAGTGTTGTCCTGATACACCAAAGTTGTGGATTTGATCCCTGGTCAGGGCACAAAGAAACATCAACCAATGAATGCTAAATAAGTGGAACAACAAAGAGGTTCTCTTTCTTTCAAAATTTAAAAAAAAAAGAGTGCTTTAACATATGTCCACTTTTCCCTTGTATTTTTCATGTGATTTTACTCTTAATTCCCATTCTTAGTTCAAAAATATCTACATATTTTATTTTAGATTTGTTTAATAATTTAGCAATAAGTGATAGTTAACTTTTAAATAAGTTAACTTTTTAATCTCCCTACAAATTATGGTATAAGGTATATGTGGAGGCATTGTGTTTGCAAATAGTTAATTTTTCTATTAGCATCCTTAATAATTCTTCCATACTATTTGTTATGATTATTTTTGCAATAATTTGACTGTATACTATCTTCTTATAAATGTAGCAGTAGGGAATATTTCTGAACTAGTTCTCTAGTTCCAGTAGTCTATTAAGGCTCTTCTCTCCCATTTTTCCTCACCAATTTTTCTTAAGTTTTATCACCTACTTATTCTTCCTGATGAACTCTTCAATCATCTGCCAAATGTCCAAAATAAAACCAATTGTTATATTTATTATGATTGTATTTATCTTACAAACTAATTTGGAAATTTTTTACTTTTTTCAATACTCAGTCATACCTTACAGGAACATAGCATCCTATTGTACCAGGATACTATGTACTATTGTGCTAGCACAAGGATACTATGTACTATTGTACTATGTACTATTGTACTATTGTCCTATTGTACTAGTACTTCTCTGTTACTCTTAAAAAATACCATTTCACATCTTCACTCTCAGTTTATTTTCCTTCATGATACATCCTTGAGAAAAGAGAAGGAGTCATATAGGTCTTCCTCATCTTCCACTATGAAATTTACCACCATATTTGCACATAGCTTTTTATCTTTTAAAAGAGCTCATCACCTGGCTGGTGTAGCTCAGTGGGTTCAGTGTGGGCCTGTGAACTAAGGGATTGTGGTTCGATTCCCAGTCAGGGCACATGCCTGGGTTGCAGGCAAGTTCCCAGCAGGGACACACGAGAGGCAACCATACATTGATACTTCACTCCTTTTCTTCTTCCCTTCCCCTCTAAAGATAAATGAATAAAATCTTTAAAAAAATAAAAGATATCATCAGCTCTGGCTGGTGTGGCTCAGTGGGTTGAGTGTCAGCCTATGAACTGGAAGGTTGCTGGTTCAATTCCAGGTTGGGGCACATGCCTGGGTTGGGCCAGATCCCCAGTTGGGAGTGTGAGAGAGGCAACCAATGGATGTGTCTCCTCTACTTCAATGTTTCTCTCCCTCTCTTTCTGCTTTCCTTCACATCTTTCTAAAAATAAATAAATAAAATACATTAAAAAATAAAATTAAAGGTCTCATCGGAGGCAAAATCCTCCACTGGTGCTCTTAGCATCCAGTTCTCTTACTGCTCAAAGATATTGGTTTGGAATTACCTGCTGGAACATTTGCTATAGGTTAAAACATAGTCTAGTATTTCTCATCTTAAAGACCTATTCCCTGAATCATATTTCCTCCTCAGGTATAGTCCATTTCTCAGTGCAAATCATCTTGAAAGACATATGTATACCCATAGTTCCACATCATATTCTACCATTCATGACACATGCCAATATCATCAGGCTCCCTCCTCCCTCCACACTCACCTGCATTGCAATTGTGCTTGTCAAAGTCAACAATAATAACCATATGGCAAATTCAGTATCACTTATCTACTCAAACTTTCAGCCATGTTTGACACAATAGACTATTCTGTCCTTGAACTGCCTTCTTTTTCTGACTTCTAGGCCACCACAAACATTAGATCTTCACTTAGTCCACTGTTCCTCTTCAACATGACATGTAAATATTGAAGTGTCTCATGGCTTGAGTGCAAGCCTCCTTTTCATCTGATTCAAATCTCTCTACCTTGATAAATTCATCATCTCATGGGTCTAAATTGCATCAGCATTTGACCCCAGTGACTTGACTGCTTCTAAAGGCCAAACTCATAGTTAGCTGCTGATACAAACTTTTTGCCTGGATGCCTTAAGCATTTCCCATTTAATCCAAAACTGAATGTTTGATCCACCCCCAATTCTCACAAATTTGTGAGAATTTGTTCTTCTCACAATTTTTCTTATTATAAAAATACCACATTATCATTTTCACACTTGATCAAGCTAAAGATCTATACTCCTTGTTTTCTATTTTTGTCTTAACACTCCCAAACAAGAAGATTCTATAAACTTTGCCTTCACAACCTAGTCCATATCTTTTTGCTTCTCTCAGTACTACTATGTTAATCAGTACTACTGAGCAAAACTGCTAAGTCTACCTACCAGACTGAACTTTTGGTGAGAACTTCTATGCTAGGTTTGAAACAAACCCTGGAGTATAGTCATGACTTTGGAACCAGACTGCTTGAATTTTACTCTCAGTTCTACCACTTAATGATTGACT